CATCACCACCTATCACCACCTAAAGTGGTTAAAATTGCCTTCACGAAGAAGATGTTACCCCTAAGAGATTGATACGACCCTAAGGTGTCTCTTTGTTACCCTTCGCGGCGTTTGAGTGGTTGTTGAGGAAGGAAGAACAAGGGAAGAAGAAGAGGGATGCGGAGAGGATGATTGTGGTGATTCGTGGTTGACCAGCGAGATGACGGGGGGTAGACGAAGTTGGTGGTGGTTAGTCATTCCTGAATCAAAGAAGTGATCAAAGTTAGTCCGCCCCAAATTTTTTTTTTCCTAGGCGGGTGTGGGAATGCATTTTTAGTTGATTTTTTTTGCCCGCTCCGAAAACCCCGTACGACCTGATCATTTTGGGCAGGTTTGGGCACAAAAAATTCGGTTCAAAGCTTGGCCCGAGAAGTGGGTTGTATTTTTTTGTCTCGGGCCAACCCAAACTGAATCATTATTCAATGTCCCTGTCCGCTAGTCTGGCCCGATTTGACCCAATTATAAGGTGGACCATGGTCCACCTTACTCTATGTGGTTCACCATTAGATTAACGTTACGTGTTTGCTAGTTGTAGTTTTAATTTCTTCTTTCAAATTCTCAATGTTCTTCTTCTACTATTTAATTTCACCGATCTTCCCTCTTTCAATTATTTCCTAATTTCTCAATTCCCTCTCTTCAATTCTCTCCTTCTTTTTTTAATCATCATCCATAATTTCTCTCTCCTCGATTTTCTCTCTCCTCAATTTTCTCTCCTCTCAAATTTTCTCCATCGTTGATTCCTCTGTTTCCTTATTGAATTTGTTCATCGCCAACCTCGACACTGTTAGATTTCTTATTTTATTTGATAATTATCACTAATTAGGTTTTTGTTGTTGATGCTAGTTATTGATTTTTCATTTTGTTATTGATTTTTGAGTGATGATTTGAATTGATCGTATAATTTTTAGGTTTAATTAGTTTTAATTTCATATTATTCAATTGATTAATTGATGAATTGATCAAATGTTTGATTAATTTTAATTAAGTTGCTGAAATTAGTGATTAGATTTTGATTACTTACTGCAGAATTCGTTTAATATGATTCTAAACATTCAGTTCATATGATTACTTAGTGCAGAATTTATGTGTTGAATTTCAAAGATATTCATATATATTATTCAATTGATTAATTTAATATTTAATGTTAATTAAGCTACTGAAAGTGTGTGTTGAATTTGATTCTTGATTGTAATTGTTTTTTTTTGATGATTTTCAGTTTCATTTATTATTTAATTGGTGAATTGATGTTTTAATTTGTATTTTATGATCGAATATAATTTGTTTATATCATGTTTTTGAACATTTTGTTCATATAATTCGAGTAACGCACTTTTTATTGTATATATTATCAAAATTGTTAATGAACACTGTTTCTATTTTTTATGAACATTTAGGTTACTTTAATGAACCTTTTTGTTTTACATAAATCTCTGAGTATGTATATATGCTTTTTAGAAAATAATTGTAAACGTAATTATGAACATTTTTTTCCTATATTTGAACTTTGTTGTTTTATTTTTCAACTCCAGTAATGGTTATTATGAATTGTTTTGTTTATAACATTTATAACATATGAAGTTGTTTGTAAGGAAATTCTAAAGGCTGAGCAACATTCGGAGCAGTATTTTCACGTGCAGAAGTTTTTGAAGGATGTTTAGTAGTTTGTGGTTGGGGTTCAGAATTTTTTGTAGGAAAACAGAGATTTTTGTAGGGTATTCAGTGGCTCGTGGTTGGGGTTCAGAAGTTTTAATACGGGGTTGTAGGGTGTTCAGTGGTTTGTGATTGGGATTCAGAAGTTTTTGTAGGGGGTTCAGAGGTTTTTGTAGGGTGTTTAGTGGTTTGTGGTTGGGGTTCAAAAGTTTTTATAGGGTGTTTAGTGGTTTGTGGTTAGAGTTCATAATTTTTTATAGGGTGTTCAGTGGTTTGTGGTTAGGGTTCAGAAGTTTTTGTAGGGTATTCAGTGGTTTGTGGTTGGGGCTCAAAAATTTTTGCAGGGGGTTTAGAGGTTTTTGTAGGGTGTTTATGTTGGAGTTTATAGGTACTACGTAGCGGAAAAACATGAATCATATTCATACAGTACCTAATCCCAAGATCTAATGCATAACACATAAAGAACATATAATCGTACCTTTGAAACGTGATTCCACGTGCGATCGAGCAAGAACAATGGAAGATAAAGAACCCCAAGCGTGATTCCTCTACTTGGTCCACAGGCACAGATTAAGACCTCCACTAATGCTAGTTAGTTGCAATTGAACCCTTCAATTGACCTTTTACGGAGAAGAGCGAGAAACGAACCACCATGAATCACCACACACGCCACCAAGGGTGGCCGGCCGTACGGATGAGAGGAGGAGAGAGATAGCCGTGAGATAGAGAGAGGAATTAGGGTTTTGGGATTGGTTGCCTTGATGTCAAAATACACTGTGTGTGAATTATGATTGCTTGCTTGCAACCCTAGGCATGGATATTATTTATAGATCTCATCTCTAAATAAGAGCCCATGTCAAAAGCCCAAAACTTAATTCTAATCTAACTATGCTAGCCCAATCAATTTCATGATTAGTTAATTGCTCATGATGCCCATTAATAGGTCTCTAACTTGCTTAACCCAATACCCTTGTGTGTGACCTCATAGGATCCATTCTAGCGAGCTTTGGACAATTTGACTAGTCCAAAGATTATCTCTCATAGTCTAGCAACAGATGATGACGCCCCAAGAGAACGAACTTATTATCTCCATAATAGTGATCCTTGATATATCTAGTAATTGCACTTATCGAATACACAACTCCTTCAGTTTAGTAGTTTGTGGTTGGAGTTCAAAAGTTTTTGTAGGTTGTTCAGTTGTTTGTGGTTGGGGTTCAGAAGTTTTTGTAGGGGGGGGGGTTCATAGATTTTGGTAAGGTGTTCAGTGGTTTGTGGTTAGAGTTTAAAGGTTTTTGAAGGTGGTTAAAATGTTTTTGAAGGGTGTTCTGTGGTTTGTAATTGGGGTTCAGAAATTTTTCTAGGGAGTTTAGAGATTTTTAGGTTGGTTCAGTGTTTCTAGTGGCTTATCAGAAAATTTTGGGGGCTTATCCTAAATTTATTGGGGCTTTTGGGGGATATTCAAAAGTTTCTTTAAGGTGTTCAGTAGTTCGTCTATAAATAAATATTAAACAACAAAAGAGGAAATACACAACATCCAAATAAATTATTATTCATACCAAATACTTGATAAAATTTATACACAAATTATTGTTTCATACAACACATATATTTTGGACATAAAAGACAACTTATATGAACATCAAACAGGAAATATATGAACAAAAATATGAGGGATATGGAACGATTAACATCAGATTTGCTAATTTTATTACACAATACACCAAAATTGGTTAAAAAGCTCAAAAAAAAAGAAAGCAATTTTTCACTTTTTCACAAAATACAGGATACTTTATATTACAGTGGATAGAGAAAGTAGAGTTTTTCCCATTTTTTGTTGAAAATTTTAGAGCTTCCAGTAATTTAGAGGTAAAAAAAAAGAATCAAAATTGTTAATGAGGAAAACAAAAAATAATATCCAAAAAAAAAAAGGAGAGATTAAAATCGAAAATGGTTGTTAATACGGAGTAGTTTTAATTTAGATTTTCAAATAATAAAGAGAATATCAAAATTCAATGGTGAAAAAAAAAAATAAAAATGGTTGGGCTTTTTTCTATTGAGCGTAGATACCTTTGGGCTAGGCGGCGCAGATTGGGCCTGGTGCATGTAATACCAATTGCGAAAACATGGCTTATTTGGCATTAATTTGGGCAAAGCCAAAATAACACTTTTTTTTTAGTTAAAAACTCAAGTCCTACCCGAAAAAGCTCTAAAACCCGTTTTGGCCCGACAAGCCCGCCACTTTTGAACGGGGTTGGACATGAAATTTGATGTTAAGGCCAGACCCAAATTTATGATCACCTCTACGGAGAGCTCGAAGCCCCCTACTAAATAGTGATGTTAGATCTCTCTCTCTCTCTCTCTCTCTCTCTCTCTCTCTTTTTTAAATTAATAAAAAATGTATTATATTGCAAAGCAAGCCCATACCAGGGATTGATTTACGATGTTTCGTGACTTCGTCAATCAGCGTGATTGACTAAAGTGGCCTCTCAAGATCCTGTTCTGTACACTCGGATAATTTGCTCATTAAATTTTGCAAATTTTACTCGTTTATTATATGAGCAAATTACCCGAATCTATATATCCATTCTATTAGCTTATACTAAAAGCGAATGTCATTTATCCAATGACACTTGTCATTACCCTGCAAAAAAAATTCCCACCTTTTTTCAATATTTTATTTATTTATTTTTTATACTTTATTTTGCAAAAGTCTTTAAGTAAGCTATTTACACCTTATGAGATTTTCTTTCCAATTTGACACATATTCCATATATACCCAAATGAAATATTTCTGCATATCTTTTATATACTTTACTAGGTTAATCCCATGCGTTGCACGTATCAAATAATTTTTTTTTTGTTTAAAAACGCTGTCAATATTCTTTATTCGAAAAGTGTAACTTATTTATTAATTTTGAAAGAAATATTGTAATTGTTTAGTTTTAAAACTTAGGAGAAAAAAAATAGAAAAAAATGATAATGTCATAAATAGTTTTGGCGGGAAAATATTTTATAAGAAATTGACAAGTGTCCTTTAATGATGTCAACATATTTTGTTTTAGTAATAGTCAATAGATATTTTAACCTACTTTTCGATATATGCGATTATGCGGGTGTATATAACAAATTCTACCCTCGTATCATTAATTCCATGACTTAATACGAGGAGTAAATAAACTGAAAGTAAAAAAAAAGAAAATTTTGCAAAAAAACCACCTTTTAAATCTTGTTTTTTTGCATTTAACCACCTTTTAAAAAAAATGTTGCAAAAAACCACCAATTTTAAAATTTTTGTTGCAACTTACCACCAATTCAAGGTAAAACAATTGATAAATTTGGCTAAAAAAATGGTAATTTGCAACAAAATTTTTAAAATTGGTGGTCTTGTGCAACATTTTTTATAAAAGGTGGTTATTTGCAAAAAAAACAAGATTTAAAAGGTGGTTTTTTTTGCAAAATTTCAAAAAAAAAAAAAAAAAAACAAAAAAACTCCAATGTGTTCCTCTTCTCTGTCAAGTGTGACTGTGAGAGCCGACTACCCGAATACCGCCATTACCCATCAGACCCACCCGAGTGCCGCCACCATCTTCTCCGTCACGACGACTACAACCTTCAGCCCAACCCGTCACTCTCGAAGAATTCTCCATGATTTTTTCTCAGGTAATTGCAATTTCTATTTCATGATTTTTATTTAAATGGTAATTTCTATACCCAATTTACGCGATTTCACCAAACAACTCACCTAATTTTACATTATAGTTATGATCAATGTTATAGGTATTACTCATTACTGTTATAAATTCAATGATTTAGGGTTTTACAAGGATTTAATATTGATGTTTTGCTTTTAGAATACGAATGTGGATATTACCTTCCTATGGAGGAGTTATCGTGCTACCAATCGAAAACACTCTTGCAAGGTTATTTATTTTGTTATATATATTCTATGAGACCTCCATAATTTTAATTTCATAAAAACATACAAGTTTAGATTTTGCTGCTGGATCAATTTTAATTTTAGAATACGAATGTGGATATGATGTTGATCGCTGGATCAATTTTGCTGCTGCGAATACAGGTCTACACAGTCTCACCCTGCAGTTTATATGTATAGATAGGTGGAGAGGTTATTTCCAGCCCCATTGTAAAGGGTTGCATCTTATTTACGAGAACTGCGTTTAGATTGAAGCTTGAGAATGATTTTATTGTACCAAGAAACTTAACTACACTTCATCTAACTAACATTACTCTAGAAACCTCCGGTGCGTGGTGGAATTTATGAATATATGCTTGTGTTGGCTAACATATACTGATGTACTCCTCTGTTCCTATTTGTTTGCCCCATTGCTAATATTTGAGTCAAACTTTGATAACTTTGACTATTATTTCCCGTTAATCTATAAGATATTATATGGTTAAGTGGATTTGTTGGATTCATCTCGTTGTATATTTTATTAATATCTAGTTTTTATAATTGTCTGATTTACTAGAATTTCTTCTTTTTCAGGTTAATGAATTACCGTCTAGCCCACACAAAACATTTCACTCAGTTTTGAAACTATTCATCTCCAGTGCGAATGATGATGGCAGTATAGTGTCGGCTTTCCCGTGCCTTCTTAAATCCTTTCCGCTTTTGGAAAAGCTTGAGATGAGGGTAAATATGACAAACTCCCTTTATATTACATTTATTTAAATTTATGATTTTATAAAATTGATTGACAAATTTAGTTTACAACTATTCATGTGGTGTAATTTTGACATTTAGTTTTTTTTTTTTTTTTTTTTTTTTTTTTTTTTTTTTCTAGTTTCCAAATTCTCCTGGCCGTCAGAGCTCTGAACTTCCGATTCCATATGTCCACAAGAATCTGAAGGAGGTTAAGCTGACTAATTTCCATACAAAGTGGATACCAGTTGCTATCTACTTGTTGCAAAGTGTTTTCATGTTGGATAGTATGGTGATTACCAAAACATCAAAAGGATATATTAATGTGGAACCTTGGAATTGGATATTCGTTGAGAAAGAGTTCAATCCTAAAGAACGTATAATTATTTTAAATTCGTTGATTGGAAAGGCATCATCAACTAGTGCTAGAGTTACCCTTGAATAATCTTATTCCTGGTAAAGTGAGAGTTACCTTTAAATAATCTTATTCTTGGTTATAAATTAATTTTATGCTCTTTAATCTGACTTTTTTCCCTTGCAGCTTTAATATTATTTGAATGAGTATGATAGGTGAATCGATTTTTGTGATAGTGATGATGGAATTCAAATTTTGTTTGCTTGGATTTTTTTTTTCTTGATTCATGTTGCTGTTTAAGTAAGGATAATGGAATTGATTGTTCAATTTGTAACTTTATCATGATGGATCGATATTTGATTGTTCAAATGTAATTGACTAGGTATGGAACTACAATAAATTGTTTTTTTTTTTAAAAAAAATAAATAAATAATTGTTGTTGGTTTAAGTATTGATTATTTCCTTTAAAAAAAGTTATTGATTAATTTTTTTGACAATGGTTTATGGTCCCTTTGGTGTTGTTGTGGATATCCATCCTAGAGTAAGTGGGACGTTGGACTTTTTCTCACTATTTATTTATTAACTTTGACTATAATGTTTTACTAACATAATAAAAACATATTTCCTTAACCCCTAAAAAATGATTAATAAGTTACTGTAGCTTATCTATAGTGACTTTCTGCATATGCCCCTCGAGGTGTTGATTCAGCCAATTGCTGAAGTCGTCAAGGGTTCTTTGGAGGACTATGATGATAGCCTAAAAGCTTGTGTCGAAGCGTCAAAGATGTGGATGCAGGTGATTAATACTGTGCTTTTGTTTTATGCGGTATTTTTTTTTGGCTTCAGCAATATTTTTTTTTAATTGGAATTTAGACATCATATTTGTTACACTTACAGTATTTAGACTTGTTTCAATTGCTTTTTCTTTGTCAATATACGTGCTTAAATTGAGTCTATTGAAGTTTTGCTTGCCTTGGACCTCCATGGAGTGTGACTGCCCAGTTATGCAAAACAATTTGTCTTAGGGCTATTGATTTATGCTTTGGTTCTTGGAACTGCTGTTAAACAACTAATATAAAGCAAGGGATGACTAGTGAAGATTTCTTGGAACTGCTGTTAAACAACTAATAATTCTTTCGAATAACAAAGTTAAAAAATGCACTCTCCCTTCACCTTTTGTTTTCCATGTCCTGAGCTCTTTTGTTCTTCTGCTTCTCACTTAAGTGTTACATCGGTATTATCACCCAAATAGTTAATTTATACGTTGCCTTAACATTATTAGAAATTAGAAATATTTACTTACAAAGGGTAGCATAACTAGCATTTGTATGTAAGATATAAGTTGGGTCATATAAAGAAGTATTCTGGGATCTAGGGTGTGCATAGTTTACCAAATCTGTAGCTTCCGTATTACCCGATTATGTAAATGTGGAATTATCTGGGTTTGGAGAGTAGACCTGAAGTTGCTGCTTGGGTACATGTATCAAAGTGATTTATAGCATCATTTTTATGTTGGTTTGTATGTATTTGGGAGGGATGTCTATGTGTAGAGATTTGTCTATGTCCAAGTATTAGCTTTTTAACTACAATGCATAATATTGATGGTCCAGAGCATTTTTTCTCTTTTGGTTCTTGTATACATTCTTTCATCAGAGTTAATTTAATGCTATGTTAAGCGTTTTCATGCAAAAAATAGGAAATTATCTTATAGTTAAGTTTGATAATTCCTAAAATGTAAATTGTTATTTTACCATATCTTGAAAACCAGAGTATACAAGTTGTAGCAAAGCGAGTAATTAATTCATTCAATGTTGTACTTCTAACAATTGTTTGGAATCTGTAGGAAAGGATTTGAATTGGAAAGGAACTTCTTGAGGCCAAGTGTGAAAAAATTCAAAAAAAGATAAGGTTGTAATATCTTTTCTACCTTGTTGTATACCTTTACGATTACTTTAATTAGACCAGAAGGTCCTGATTGCAAGATTTCAAGCTTAATTATCTCAGCAACTTTTTACTGTACTCTCTGTTTACCCCTCTGATTGCCATCTTAAAGTTTGTGGCCTGAAAATTAGTTGAATATTGAGGACCAGTGGTAACCTGATATTTTTCCCCTTCGTTTCACAGGCTGAACGAAGATGCAAACTTGGGTTGCCTCCAGAAGATCCTGCTGCTGCAAACCTTCTGAACCCATTGTTGAGGAGAAAAAGGTGGATTTTGTTAAGATGGACATAGTTGTTAAGTTAATCTGTAAGACTATAACTTTAGAACTTGCCTTTATTGTGATGTATTTATATACGAATTGCAGAGTATTTTGCCAGTTAAGCCTATTACGAAAGCAGAGCAAATTAGAGAGTGCCTTTGATTTTTAAAAACGAATCATAAGGTGAATAATGTCTTCAATGCTTTTGCTTGTTTGCACTCTTTAATTGAAAATTCAGGAATAAAAATCATAAGGTGAATAAAGTCCTTCAGCTTTTTATCAGGATGCTCATTTTCTTTCTTCTTCTTTCTTGGTTTAGATTAGGTCTTTCATTTTGGTGTGCCTGAGAATGGCAATGGACTTAAGAGTTAGAATGCTGAGCCATTCAGGGAATCATCTTGAGAGCGGTATGTGCTTTGCTATTGTTTAGAACTATTAGTTTGAGTTCTTGTATTGGATGTGATCTTATTATGCTTGTCCGGAACTATTAGTTTGAGTTCTCGAATTGATGTGAGCTTACGCTATTGTCTGGAACTATTAGTTTGAGTTCTTGAATTGATGTGTTCTTATGCTATTGTCTAGAACTGTTAGTCTGAGCTCTTGAATTGATGTGATTTTATGAATTGTCTGCAACTATTAGTTTAATTTCTTGAATTGATGTAAGTTTATACTATTGTGTGGAACTATTAGTTTGAGTTATTGAGTTGATGTTGTTTATTTCAAGAATATACAAAACAAAATATCAAATTAAGGTTAGCAGCAGAGTTTACGATGCGAAGTTTGCTTGAAAGTGTTTTCTGAAAATTTCATGTAAATATTCACAAGTTCTTTCAAAATTTTCAGGTTTAGTGGGGGAGTTTAGCTGATTGAGTACTCTGTGTGATTATTAGATTGTTGATCCTGTCAATACAACTTTGTGAATCACCCGGTATTTTGTTCTCCTTATTGTTGAGTATGGAAGGAAATAATCGCTTTAAATGAAAGCTGCTTATAGCTCTCTTTCTATAACTGAAATAGGGTTAATTAGAGGGGTAATGCACTAATGAATGTTAATTTGTATAACAGAGTAGTTATAATTGATTTTTAGCATACATTACAAATAACCTATTATTGAATATGGAATGAGTGGTTATATACTATATTTGATTTTTAGCATGCATTACAAATAATAGGATTTTCTGCACCCTGTATATGTGGCAAAATCAGTTGTGAATTGTGATCTCAATTTATTTTGTCTTCTCCTTTGCAGTCTTTTGACTGTTTTGAGACAGAATGCTTCTAGGTTGTTGATGGAAGATATCTACAGAAATCCAAGTCCTCTTCAATTTGATGGCCCTTGTGTTGATGCTAAGGTTGTTAGTGTGTGTGCGGAAGACCAGTTTTATATGGGCTGTATCAAGCATCTGCAAGAATTTTTAGACAAGGTATATGATCCTTTCACTCCACTATCAACTCTCATAGTTTCGTGCTTATGTGGTCATGGATCCACCTCGTTGGTTGGAGATTTTGGAGTATAAATGACCTTCTGGCTGTACTCCTAGACACTTAACAGTCTGAGGAATATAGTCTGGCTGGAGATTTCATTTTATTTTTGTTTTTTTTTAAAAAAGAGCAAGGACGAAAAATGACAATCTGTGGTACGATGTATTAGATAATATTGCTAAGCATAAAGAAAACATACTATCAAAACACGAACATAGCAGCATTAGTGAATGTATAACGATATTCCTTTTTGCATTCTTTTGACACTTACGATTTCTAAATATTTAACTAATTACATTTGTTATTCTTGTTGCTGCTATATACTGTTATCTTTGCCGCTGCTACTGTTATTCATTTCGTTGCTGCTGTTACTTTAGTACCCGCTGTTGTTGTTGCTGTCATGGCTGTTATTATTATGATGTTATTGTTAGGTTTTTCTGATATTGTACTGTTATTATTGTAAATGTGTTTTGGTTAAGTTTTTCTAATTGTGATACAAAGAGTGCATACAAAGTTGCAAGGTCAATCTCCAGTCTCCACAATAGAGTGCATTACAAAATATTTGAGGGTAAAGATGATGTAGAATATATATTGCCTATTAGAGTATTAAGACAATACACTTCTAATTTATTTTCGTAGGATTGATGTGGAAATATAGATTGAATATACATATTACATAAATTTGTACGAATTAAAACTAAACAACTTACTCATAATATCAGGACTTATGAATAATCAGTGGAAGATGTATCTTTACCGTTGCCCCTTATTAAACATATCTACCCCTTTCATTCACAGCTAACACTTGTACTCGATTTGGGTAATCAAACCAATGACTTGTGTCTATATACATTCAGTTGGCTGAGCAAAACTACTCGAACACCCGATTCGTAACCATTTCGAAAATTAGGGTACCCGATCCGATAACCATAACAGTTCGGGTATCCGTTTTGATAATTTGTTATAGGGTATGGTTATTGGGTATCATTTTAAAATTAATGGTTACCCGATCCGATTTGATAAACATTTTTTTTTTTTTTTGTTTTTTTACCCCTACTTAAATCTATATTTTAAAATGTAAACTCTTACTTTATTTCATAATCACTTTATAATATCAATGTAATATTATTAATAATTTAGTCAAGAATATGTTATATTATTATTAATTAGTGTTAAATGATATCATAATAACTACATTATTAAGTTTATTATCATTATTGGACAGCTTATTGGGTACCCGATAACCGATCTGAAAAGTTGGGCACATGAAGTCTGGGTACCCAAACTTATTGGTTCGGTTTATGAATTTCACATTAATTGATTTTTGTTATCGGGTACCTGAATCGTTAGTGCTAACGGTACGGGTATCCGTCCATGCTCACCCCTACATTCAGATGCATAATAAAGGTTCACCAAACTAATATAATCATATAATGCATGAGCTATTTTAAGTTTGTACGTTTCATTTTTGTTTATATATAGGACATTGTTATATCTTTGTAGGCCAAATTTTATTGGCATAAATAAATGATTAATCAATATAGAAAGTACATAACACGCATCAAGATTAATGTATGGTATTGTAGATTTGTAGAAACAATGGAAGATGAGGGTAGTCGAATGTTAAAGTAAAATAGGTGAATAATGATGATAATCGAACTGAATTTTGGTCAATAGAAAACTACAACAATGCAAGTACGTAGAGCCGCATCAAATACATACATCGATCATATACATACACAATTCCTAAAACTTATCCAACTAATCTAGTTAGTATATACCAATATACATACGCCATGTATACGTTGATTATTTATACGAAGTATGTAATTACACGAATACGTGTACTCAAAAGTCAAAATTAGAATAGTCACGAAGCAAGAAAGTAACACTTCAAGCGTTATATTGGATACATTATTATCATATATAGCAATCAAAAAATTGCTAATCTTATCTTATGCTTGTCATCTTCTACGATGCCACCATATATGAAAGCTCCCATTTGATCTCCTTGTCCATGTGCCATGTGCTTTCGCAAAATGCAATTCGGGGTACATAAAATCTTTCTAATAATTTCTATGTTGGTGTTTAGACATAATTTTTGTTATATTATTGTATTTTTATTTATTTTTTACTTGAAAACAAGCAAAACAATCTTAATATTCAAGATCTATATATTCAATAATGTTCTATTGTAAAATTTTAAGAGAAGATTAAATGGGTAAGATCAAGCAAAGGAGGAGAGTGTGGGTCGTAGTTACACGCCTAAGTGGTTGCATCCTAAAACAATTGGTGATGGGCAAAATAATTCATATGTGAACAATATATAAAGTACAGTTCAAGATGTCTAATATAACAATTACTTCGTATTTAATTTTGACATCGGAGAACACACTCCCAAAAATTTATATAATCGATGAAAATTGATCATTTAGTACCGAATTCATCGATCCTTCTTTTAACAAACCCACTTATCAATGATATTTGAATCCACTTAATCGACAGTGTTTCTAGTACCACCATATACAGACCTGTCAATTCCTGACCCAATCCCATTTGAAATGATTACAAACCTAAAATATTGAGAGAAAACCTGACCTGACCCAAACAATCCAAAATTGACCCAATTTAATTGACCATTTATCATATTTGTAATGACCCAAACGAGCCAAACCACTCGACCCAAATGATCCAAATCGGCCTGTTGACCGAATTGATAGATCTAGCCACATACAATAATGGCGGGGGTAACAAGCAAAGATCAAGGATGGAGGAGAACCACCAATAAATGATAAGAAGGTGTAGGAGCCAAAGATTATTTAACCAAAGAGAATTATGAGCCATTTGATTTACTGCCAGCCTAGCTAGTATATTATGGCAAGAGGTAATAAACAGTACAGATCATAAGACAATATAGAAGACAAAAAACAATTAAGAAGGCCTATCATCTCATTTTTGGCCATGATTTGATTTCGTGTATAGTATGTGGGTTGAATTTCTTGGGGGGGTTGCTACTATTGATTCACCAACAATAATATAATTGCATGGAATTGAGCAAATTCTCAGATTTTGCCAGCTATTCTATATTTTATTGCCTAAAATGGAATGTACTGTATTATATTTGTTGTCACAACAATGGTTGAACATCCTTTCTTGATTGCATGTTTTGTCAGGGCTGTTTCATTGTTCGGTAAAATTAGTTGTTTGTTTATACTAGTTAAATTCGTCTTTAAAAGTTAAATGATAAGATGGTGTTAGCCAAGTAATTACAAATAAAAAGATGTTGTCATTTCTATCAATTTGAAGCTAGCTATATGATATTGATGATTTTTGCTTATCAATATTATTCTATCTTAGCTTTCATATAAAAGACATGTAGAGATGTGATCATTGTCACATTAATTGGTCACCTTGTGTAGGGCTGATTCAATATAAACAAAATACATTAAAGGTGTGGTAAGAGTTAGATTATAACAAAGTGTGGAAAATGATCGAATTGTAACCCTAAATTCCTAATAGTCCTCTTTTCACATTAACTATGTATCTAATTCATTGTATGAATATTGTTTAGCTACTTGTATGTCATCAGTGTCTATACATAGGTATATATCATTTTAAACACACCGAGCGTTCAAAAGTATGTATACATTGCATGGTTGTATGCACCCTCATTGCACAAATATGACTTCATGTTGTGCTATATATACATGTGATCGATTTATAAGTTGAGACATTATACAAGACACCGATTATATAAATATTATTTAAGATTAAATATTGTATTTGTGGAGAATTATTGTAAGGGTAATGATACATACTCATTTACCATACTTTTACTTAAACACCACCTTACTAATGTTCACTTAACGTTTCAATAGTCAATAGTACAACAATATCTCAATATTAGTACTAATAACATTATTTTTTTTTTAATGAGGTTATTAATAAAATTATTAGAAATTGTGAAAGTCAAAATACAATATTACTTAGACTTTCTAAAGGTAAAAATAGACCAATCATATCAAATATAAGAGTGTGACCACCCAAAAAAAAAAAAAAAAAGGATGAAAAAGAAAGGAAAGAATAAAACAAAGACAACGGCTGTTCATCAAATCATGTCTGATTGCTTCTTCCGTAGGTCAATTTAATTTAGAGCTAATGAGTTGTATTTCTTCCACTTGATTTGCTTGTGTGTCTAATGTCTAGTGGCCGAGTGAATTTAGGTCATACATAAAACTTATACTTGTACATACTTAGGAATATACTGTGTATAATATAATTTGTATGTACTTGGTATTGCATTACTCCTTCGATTTCAAATGACTATCATGGGGTCAAACTACCAAGCTTGAGGTTGGGTGTTCAATCTCTACTAAAAACACTTTGAGAGTGTGGATCCCTTACTCATTTTCCTTACTCTCAAAGTATCCGCAAATATCGGACTAAAAACCGTAAGCGTTGAGATACGATCATGGTCCTTCTCCTTTAAAAAAAAACATCGGGTCAAATTGCTCAATTAGCTGGGAGTTGGGATCGAAGGACAACGCCTTGGTTAGAGGGTTTGAAAACAATATACATGTATAATTGTCATTTAAAAACAACGGTCGTGTGTGTATATATATAAATTTATCGCTTTACCACTTTAGAGGTACAATTGTGTTAATTTTATTTTCAATTTATTGCTTTACCACTTTAGAGGTACAATTGTCGTGCTCAGTGGTAATACAAGTCTACATTAACAACCCAAATAACTTAAGGATGGGGCTGCATTACTTTGGATATTACATGCATAGTTCGTACAATTTATCTTTGAGGTCCAATAATATATTTATATATGCATGCATGTTAATAATGCATTTAATTTTACAGCCATTTTTCACATGCTATATTAGCTTGATTAAAAGTCTAGTACTTTTGGTCCATGCATGGCACGCTATGAAGGGTACGTATTGTCATGCATGCAAATTAAAGGATGGATGGAGGTTTTTGCTAACATCTTTTTAGGGCCTGTTCTCTTCCGTTGAAATTTAGTTCAGTTCAGTTCAGTTCAATTCAGCTCTTAATTTATGTCTAATGATATTGCTAATGATATAAAGCCAAATTTCATTCTTTTAAGCTCTTATTACAACGTCGACAACAACAACAACAACAACAACAACAATAATAATAATAATATTAACAATAATAATAATAATAATAATCAATAAGTAATAAATAATAATAATAATCAATAAATAATAATAATAATAATAACAAATAATAATACTACTAATAATAATCAATAAATAATAATAATAATAATAGTAATCATCAATAATTAATAATAATAATAATAATAATAATAATAATAATAATAATAATATTGATACAATTCATTGTTCAAATGGTTCTATAGTATATTTTTAATATATTTTCCATAAATTTTATAATTATATAGTATATTTTTCGTAAATATTTTAATATGTACATTTGTATATACACATATGTATAGTAATAAATAATCAATAAATAATCAAAGATCACTAATCCGTAATTTAAAATCACTAATTAATAAGTTCAGTTCAGTTCAGCTGAGTTCAGTCAATCGGAACAGGCCTGTTCACATTTACTTAATTTCAATTCAGTTCAGTTCAGTTCAGCTCCAATCAGTTCAGTTCAGTTCAGCTCTTAATTTTCCTCTCTCATAAAATATTCATTTCAGCTCAATTCAGTTCAGTTCAGTTCAGTTCAACTCCAATCAGTTCAGTTCAGTTCAACTCCAATCAGTCCAGTTCAATTCAGACAACTTAAAATATTCTTGATGAGATTTTTAGGTGGTTTTTTAAATTTAAATTTATAATTGAAGCGGATATTTAATTGTTTTACTTTTTACTAGGCATATCAACATTTAATTTTGAAAAAAGATTTAATAATAAAGAATCTTATAACAGTTATAAGTGTTACTATGTGACTACAAGATACGGACACACTATTAAATCATTATTTCTTTTTATTGTTTTTTTGGGTTATGATATTCATCATTACATATATAGATAGGCTATCCAATGGAAATGTTAAATTAGATTTCTTCTCTAAAATCCAAATTGGTCCCTAAAATTGGAATTATATATGAAATAGACATAAAGAATCATGATTATTAGCTTGCAATTTCCGCCTTAAGAAAGATATTTAACATTATGCATTCATATGGAATAATCATACATACCTTGTAATCTTGTACTTGTATATGGTATCGGTCACACTCTCATATATGTATTTTCAATATCAATCAATTACAAGCATATATTTATACAATGCATTCATATGAAGAAACAATTCATTGAAGGCCGTCCCTAAATAATTGTCGCAAAATCTGTAATTTAGTCAGAATTTTTTTTTTCCCAAGTTTTTTGGGTGAAGATATTAATTTATTAGGAGTTCGAGTATATATATGGTGTGGCAGTTGGTAAATAAATTTATATATTAAAAAATTAGTCATAGTCTTATAACTCGATCAATTTCTTACAAATGGATGAATATATTACTCCGTAACTAGGTATGTGTGTATGTAGAAGGATAATTGTGACGTATAGTACCCTGTTTCATATTATTTACAACGATTAGACATTTTTTAATCACATTTTATGTCAAATCGTTGCAAATAATATGAAATAGATCAAATATATAGTATCTAATTTGACTCTTTTAGCTATGAAGGGAGTAATTTGACAAAGTACGCAACTGATTCTTGATAGACATTAAGGGATAGACATTATTCCCTTAATGTCGTTTATAAAAAATGCCATTAATTTACTAAATTCGAATACATAATTCATGAACAATTTTTAGACACATTATTAATGGTCAATATTCAAACTTTGAAATATAACACCAATTAATTTACTAAATTCGAATACATAGGGTCTGTTCATATTTACTTATTTTCAGTTCAGTTCAGTTCAGTTCAGCTCCAATCAGTTCAGTTCAGTTCCAATCAGTTCAGTTCAGCTCTTAATTTCCCTCTCTCATAAAATATTCATTTCAGCTTAGTTCAGTTCAGTTCAGTTCAGTTCCAATCAGTTCAGTTCAGTTCAGCTCCAATCAGTTCAGTTCAGTTCAGCTCTTAATTTCCCTCTCTCATAAAATATTCATTTCAGCTTAGTTCAGTTCAGTTCAGTTCAGTTCAGTTCAGTTCCAATCAGTTCAGTTCAGTTCAGTGTAGTTCCAATCAGTTCAGTTCAGTTCAGTTCAGCTCCAATCAGTTCAGTTCAGTTCAGTTCAGTTCAGTTCAGCTCAATTCAGTAAATATGAACAGATCCATAATTCATGAACAATTTTTAGACACATTATTAATGGTCAATATTCAAACTTAACACCAAATTTTGACATTGGTGATTAAATGTTGATTTAAGAAAATAAAATTATTTTTACGCCGTAATATGTTTAGTATGTCGGCCTGTTTACTAGCTAGTGGAGAGTAAATATATATTGATATTATTCCAAAACTCCACATCCAATTGACCAATTGCATGTTACTTAATGAGTAAAGACAGAGTTTTATTTTGGATTATTCACACCAATTGGTTGGAATAATATCTCCCATTTACTAGATCAAACCAAAGAAAAATTTATAGGAGTTGATCAAATTAAAACTATAGAGAAGCAAGAATTATAACGCAACTTGTTGATTAGAGTTGGCCCATTTACTCGAGTCTTTCGTTAAAAACTTATGATGAATTGATGATGATCAATTAAGTTATCTATGTATATCTAAAGCTCCCTAAGACCCTAACATACATTTAAAAAATATACGAAGTATATATATAAGTATATAGTAGTTTTAAATAGATGTTACATGTATTCATTAGTAGTGAAAGGCTCAAGTGTTAAATGTCATGTTTTATTTTTCAGGTTGTTTTAATTTTGAAGTTAGTAGTGGTAAGTCTTAATTAGTTCTTGCTTCATATTTTGTAAACTCTGATTACATAAATATATTCAGTTGATTGTTGTAAAAAAAAAAAGAAAAAAAATAGTGAAAAAGTTGTACGAGTACATTTAAAAATAGATGTTAATGTTACGTACTTTATACAATCACGTGTCGTTTATATATAGATCTTAACGGACCTTCACAGTATGTAAAGAAGCTAAGGCGAATCATGTTGTATACGAGTATAAGCAAGTGAAAACCAGAAACCAGACATACTAGTAAGTTTTGTTGGCAATTGATCAAGTTTTGTTGATACTATGGGCAGTCATTTCAGCTCCAGAAGAAACACTAGTATCCTTTTGTCCAGATATCTTTACCAAGTTATCCATATTTGAAGTAGGAAGTACTATCTTTCCACAATTTTAAGCTTTTTATAGTCTGACTGATTAAAAGTAAGCTATTGTATGTAACAACTAACAACATAATGCTTCATGCAAAAGTTAAAAACTTGTAGACCCCTCACTCTCCATAATGTATGTTTTCATCATTCACCATTATTTTATTATTTATTTAACTTCTTTAAATCATAGTTTACACATTTTTAATTAGTTGACTGTGGTTTATAACATAATCCACTTTATAAAATATGTATATGTTGATTAATTTATTAAAAGTCAATGTTGTTACATTCAAAATAGTTTAGGCATTAATAATGTATAAATTAATGTAGATGTGTTCAGTTAATTCCCCAGATAAACAAAATTTATTAATCTGAGTATAATCGTCTTTTCAAGTACTAGTGGAGGGGTAAATTGGTACATGTGTAATTTCTTTACTAAACAGTAAATGCAAATTACAAATAGTAATTGGACAACTCACCAAAAATACTAAATAAATGACCACTTTTTTTCATAAATTTACAAAAATGCCACCAGATTAACAAAAATTCGTTTATCTTGACAGATCTTGTATTTGCCCAAATTAAAGTGGATATTATGGATCTATATTGAGTCATCTATTTCAAGCTTGTTCTTACTATGGAGACACTGGGAAAACTATACTGAAGTGGTACGCCCCTTTACTATCATATTGCTCAAAACTTACAATTATGGAGTTAGCTCATACATATACTCTAACACATATTTTGTATTGAGATTAATATTGCAAGAAAGCTATAATGATTTATGATATTACTAAACCAAGAAAATGTTGAACTATATATGGTTATTTATTTTTCTAAGTACAGGTAAAAAAATGTTAGGAAAAAAAAAGGGGTGAAAGCAACTGTGGGCAAAATGCAATAGTAAGGTTGTTTTATGCCAACTAATAGTGGGGGAGTATTTTTGGCAGCCTCTTGTTTGGCCTAGTCCCAATGCTTTGTTCACGTGAAATGCTGCTTCAGTGTTCTTTTTTTTGTTCTCTTGTTATGTATGCATAGATTTTGCCCTCTATATAATCTACACTCTTTTCTTCACTACTCTCTACCATTACACTTCCTACTGTGCTCTTCTTTCTCTTCACTAGTACCTTCTATCATGGACTCCTCTAAGTCCTCAGCTCTTCTCTTCATATGCATGCTTTTCATTTCCTCGGTCGCTCCCATTATGGGTTGTGGCTATTGTGGTGATCAGCCGTCTCCCAAGCCCGGAAAGAAACCCTCCAAACCACCGGCCACCATCCCTAAATTGCCTGTTCCACCAGTAACTGTCCCTAAGTTGCCTGTTCCCCCAGTGACCGTCCCTAAGTTGCCCGTTCCCCCAGTGACCGTCCCTAAGTTGCCCGTTCCCCCAGTAACCGTCCCAAAATTGCCCGTTCCACCAGTGACCGTTCCCAAGTTGCCCGTTCCACCAGTGACCGTCCCCAAGTTGCCACTGCCACCTACTGGCATCCCAAAATTGCCCGTTCCACCAGTGACCGTTCCCAACTTGCCCGTTCCCCCAGTGACCGTCCCCAAGTTGCCCGTTCCACCAGTGTTGAGCCCACCATCAGGCCCAAGTGACGCGCCGTGCCCACCAGGGAGCAGCCCATCAAAAGGACAGCCCACATGCCCAATTGATATATTGAAGTTGGGTGCTTGTGTGGATCTTCTAGGTGGGCTAGTCCACATTGGGCTTGGTGACCCAGCAGTGAACAAATGTTGCCCAATTTTGCAAGGACTTGCTGAGGCAGAAGCAGCAGTTTGCTTGTGTACAACACTCAAAGTCAACCTTCTTAACCTTAAACTTTATGTTCCCATTGCTCTTCAAGTCCTCCTCAGTTGTGGCAAGAACCCACCTCCTGGCTTCACTTGCTCTGTTTAAATGGTACGTCACTTGACCATTCCCCCTATTACTCGCACTTAAATATTCTTTCGCTGCAATTTAAAGATTTCAAATCAGACAAATAAAAAAATAATAGAGTAAATGTTAATCAAATCACGCTATAATAATATAATATGTCTTATCATCACAACATTATTATATATAGTATAATTTTATGTGTTACTCATATATACATCTTAGTACAATTGTGAGAGAATATTTAAGATTGGAATCCAAATTAGGATTTTAGCCTAATGCACCAAAATTATCATTAATATAGATTATTATACATTATAAATAGTTGATGTACTAATTTAATATGGATACATGTAACGATGTAAGAATTATCTTTTATTTAATTATTTAAAGATTTTTATCTTTATATCTTCTTATATGTATTTCTATGGATAACATTATAAATGATAAGATTGAATTTGAAGTCTAAGTATTTATGTATGGACATTTAAGAAATTACCTTGTAGTTAAAATTAAAAATAAATATATAAAAAATTTATAAGATTATGAATTTTAATTTTGTTTTTGTATTATATATTGCAGGTTGGTAGATGAATTACGATTGAACGAATGGATGATTTTGACATGAAAGGATGTCGAGCATCCATTATTTTTATCTCTTCCATTAACTTGTTCTACCTCCTCATGTAATATTTTGGATTTGTTAATTCTTGCTCATTGAAATTTGGTAGGATGTTATTTGGGTTTATTATTGAACACATATTTTATTTGTAATGACTCATATGTTATGAGTTAAAATTGCTACATTCATATGTAATATTATGTGTTGTATCACATTATGTTGTTATTGTAACCAAGTAATGCAATGGCACATCCCTTTAATTTGTCTCTATTCTATAAGTTAACTCTTGATGAGAAGTTTGATATCCACATATATAGTCGTTTAAATTCAATATCTTATAGTCTTTGTACCATAAATATCCAATGCGAAATATAAAAAACAAAGAAATTTTCTATGACGAGCATTTAATAATTTCTTTAAACATTAAGATCCGTAATCAATTGGTTGTGTTATCGTTTACCCCAAATTCACTTAGGCATTGACGACATATCAATCAAGTCAATTAGTGAACTTAATTGGTGAATTTGGGTTTGATATAAAGTTGATTCGGGTCATTTTCACTCTAACCTTTCCTTATTTTTTTGTTATGGGTCAAAAAAAAATCTTCTGGATCCAAAAAATGGCGAATTTTGATGGAGTTTATCATCATAAGAGACACAAGCCCTAAACACCACAAAAATGTAGGGTTAGAATTTGATCTCCTTACTTCCAAAGTTACAAAGGATGAGGTAATCGCTAGAATTTATGCTCTTGGTTGATGTCTTGATGATGAATCTTAACATGTAAGATCAAACTCTTTGCAACCACCCAAATAATCTCCCTATCGTTTCATTGACCCAAACATTGATCCAAATTACGTGAATGTTAACTAACTTAATTAAGTTATGAGATGGTCCATAATCATCGAAATTGTAAAGAACATTGATTGCTTGGGAAATGTTCTTCCTTAGCTTCACATTAGGGAACAAGAGTAATGTAAGTTCCACCGTTAAAGTTAGGTTGTATTTTACATGAAGATTAAAGGACTTGTCATACATTACTTTATTAAGAGTATACTTCTTTCGTTTCAGAATAACTGGCACGTTAGACTTTTTTTTTCACTATTCATACATTTGCTTTGACTTTGGTTTTTGTTAACATAATAATATACTCCGTATTTTATAATAAAATATATTGTTAGATAGTTGTTGATATAAATTTTCATATTATTTTTTTTTTATTATTATAACTTTCATTAATATTTACTGCTGCAAAAATAACGATTTTAACGGGCTTTAATAGGTCATGCTCCCACCCACCAACTCCCAAGGCCCAAGTGTCCAAAAAATTAATAAACAATACTAATATTGTATCTATGTAAATTCCTAATTTCTCTAAAACCCTAAAATTATCCTTGTATGTAGATTCCTATTATCTCTATAACACTTAAATTTTCCTTGTATAAATATAACATACATCATTAATTTCTCAACAAAATTACTAGAAAACGAATAAACCATGGATTTTTGCGTAGATGTTGGCATGCACAAATTAGTGAAGGATGTACAATCATCCGATAAACCTTTAGAAAACGTTGTTTTTTCAGCTTTTGGTATGTGTGTAATATTAAACATGATTGCTAATGGTGCTAAAGGAGCAACCTTGCACCAACTTCTCCATTATATCAAACTTCAAAGTGTTGATGATTTGGTCACTCAAGCTTCTAATCTTATGCAATTAGCCAAATCCTCCGGTTCCGACGACAACGATGATGATCTGGTTATATGCAACTTCAATGCTGTTTTGGTGAAGGAATCAATAACCCTTAATAAAAATCACCAGAGGTTTCTTGAGGATGCATACCAGGCTAAAGTCAAGTATGTTGATTTTAAGCGAAAGGTAAAAAATCTCTACTTCTGTTATATTTTAATTAATCTGATAGTTGATGTTACAATTTAGGTTAAATTAATCCAAATCTTCTAAATATTAGAAAGTATTTTATGTTTATTATCATATTAATTCAACGTGTGTAACTTGGACTATCAATAATATCTCTATCTCTAATTAAAGAAGATAACTTTTTAAAATTATACATGTCGCATCTAAATAGCGTATGTAAATAGTGTAAAGGTAAAAGAATTTTAAGTTTTTAACATTAAAACGGAATAGAAATAAAAAATTTGCATCTCTTATTATTTTTCGAATTTTTTTTTTCAAAATAGAGGTCTCTTTAATATCGATTATTTTCTTTTATGCATCTCTTATTTTAATTTTTTTCCATTTTTTGTTTTTCAATAAAGAGGTCTCTTTAAAATTGATAATTGTTTAAAAAAAATAATATTGATAATTTTGTTTTAGGATGAAGCAGTTGCGGAAGTGAATGCATGGGTTGAACAAGAGACAAAAGGCCTCATTAATAAACTTTATCTTAATGGAGCCTTTAATTCTCCAAACTTAACCCTAAGTCATGCAAATGGACTCTACTTTAATGGGAAGTGGGAAAATGAATTTTTGGAATCAAACTCAAAAATGGAGACATTTTACCCTATAGGTGAAAGAAAACGGTACGTTGATGCGCCCTTCATGAAGGATTTCGAAAATTTCTATGACTATGGTTCATTTGATGAATACGGCGTTGTTAGAATTCCCTATAAAATCTCACATAACTATGATCAAAATCTTTCAAGCTTGAGGCAATTCTCTATGGTCATTATCCTTCCAAAAGAAAGAACAGGGCTACTAAAACTGATCGAAAAGTTTAAAGAAAGCCCCCATCTTCTAACAAGCCAGCATTTGAAAATGAAGAACGAGTTGATAACGTGTTTATCTATTCCAAGATTTAAGCTCTCGTACAATTTTATACCTTCGGAGAATATGCAAGAACTGGGGTTAACATTGCCTTTCGACTTCAATGGTGAGCTCGATGGTTTGATTGAAGATAATGACCTAAAAGTTTCTAGAATCACCCAACATACTCAAGTTGAATGCAATGAGAAAGGTACAGAAGTAATAACTTGCACTTATGACTCGGATGAAGATATGGGTTTTAGTTTTGATTCGCCGCCGCCTCCAAAGCCGAGTATATGGTTCATCGCTGATCATCCCTTTATGTTTATGATCAAAGAAGATGTCAGTGACAATATATTTTTCCTTGGTGCCATTTTCAATCCTCTGGAAAAAGATAATCGAGTTATATCCAAAATTGATCCTGTGGATAAAGAAAATGAAGACATATCTGACAATGAAGAATCCGATGATTCTGAGGGTTTTAGTCTATTTGATTAAATATCTGACAGTGAATACTAGATAAATGACCTTTGCTTCTTACGTCGTATTTTATATGTATTGAACAAGCCAACAATAATAAAAGTTCAGAAAACACATTTGAATTCAAAGAAAAGAAAACTTGAAAGAAGGATATCTGGCTTAATTTGTATGAAAAGAGCTGCTCCATGTTGCTCTTTTTCTATTTCTCAATTAACATAAAAATGACTAGCCACTAAAACATCAACAATTCAATAACTACAACTCACATCTAAATGACTAAATGACACTATGGCAGGCATTACACTGACCTAAGAGAAAACGTTGGCCAAGCCACACCATCCTCTCGGACCCTACATCGGCTACATGTAAATCTAGGAGGAAAATTGAAGGAGAGAAAAATGGAAAAATGAAAGTATTTATTCTCTGAATCGAACTATATTTATGTTACAAATACTTTGTAAAGATTGGGTTACCTACCTTTCATATCTGGCACCGCGATATGGACTACATGACTAAGTGCAAATGAGAGAAAATGAAGAAAACCGACAATAAAGATCAAGAAGCGGCTTTTGATCTTGAAGAGAAGGGCAAGAACTGAACCCAACAACAACGTTTCAACTTGATGAGAGCTTCTCGAGATTTAGCAAGCTTCAGATCCAAATAAACTGCCATGAGTGCAGCTTCTTGGCTAGCAGGCAGAGTCGCCAACGCTTGAGCTGCATACCGACTAGCCTGCTCAAGTTCTCCCTGCAAGACATGCATGGATGCTAAGTTCACATAGAGTGCTCCCCGGGCTTCCTCTGGTGAGAGAAACACGTTATCTTGTTGCTCCTCATACACAGAACCCCTAGCAGCAGTTTGTCCAGTATTTGAATCTTCAGCGTCCAGAGTTTTCTTTGCCTGCCACTGTCTACAATCATCTTCACTGTAAGGCAATTCCACATTTCCACTAGCTAAATAAGTAGAGAGATGTTCAGCAGCTTCTTTCGGTCTGTTCAGCAAGCAAAGGGCCTCAGCTGCATAAACATGCCCCAAAAAGGCATTCATTCGGGAACATTCAGGTATATTCAGGAGAGTTAGAGCTGTAGAGAGCGCATTAAGTGGATTTCCTAATTCAAGCTCAACAAATGCCAAATCAATAAGAATTGCTTGCTTGAGCTTATGATTTTCTCTTTTACAAATCTCCTCGTACTCAGATAGGGTGTTTGCTGCGGCTGTATTAGAATGAGCTCCACCTCTCTGTTCTTTTGCATCTCCATTTGTACTCATTTGACCTGAACCTGCTGTGTCTTTAGACTTCGTATCATTGCTTCCCAAGTTCTTGTGAGCCAAGTTCTTTGCTGTTACTACATCAGTAGATTCACTTTCCTCTGCAGAAGATTTTGTCAATGACCCAGACTTGATATGCTTCAACTCAGAATTGCCTAGCAAGTGAAGGGAGTTTAAAAGACACTGTCGGGCAAATGACAGAGATAGCGTTGGCTTGCTATTTTTTTCAAGACTCAAATCCTCCCTGTCATCGGGATTAGTGAAACCACTTCTCAAAGAACCATTCTCAAAGGCAAGATGTCTCCATTTCCCTTGCCCAATAACTTGGACCTTAACCTGTGATTCATGTCTAGGGGTCTCAGTACGCTTTAAGAGTCCCTTATCCAGCGCCATTAGGCAGCATTCTGCAAGTCGCAGCCACAGGAGAGGCCTGTTGTAGAAAACCAAACAGGCTTTCAGAAAAAATCGAGCAGCGAGAACAGGTTTACCACAGGACAAGTATTGCACACCACAATTATATGCTATGAGAAAAGATTTGTCTTGAGAAAATGTGGCTAGCTTCCGAGGCTTTTCCTTCCACAATGATGAACAATTGCTCAGGGCTTTGTGGAAAAATATGCTTGATGTGTGTTGATTCCCCTGTTGATAATAGATGCACCCAATGTTATTGTTGATTATAATTGAACTTCCAACATCTGATTGACTATTTGATGCTCTCAAGAGTTTGAAAGCTTTAGGGTTGTTCCCACGAGCATATTCAAGCTGCGACTTCAGTAGTAGAGCCCTAGAAGAATCTATGTCACGTGCAATGTTCATTGCCAGCTTTACTTCACGCTTAGCTGCCTTCAGATTTCTGGTGAGGAGCAAAAGCTGTATCTTGTATAGGGGCAACTGTAACCTCAAATTAATGGTGGGTGTAGACCGATCAGCTGGTGTCCTTAACAGATCATTTGAAGTTGACAGATGAGATGCCCTGGAAATATTCTGCCCGCTTATATCGAGTGTTGATAGCAAGGTCTCATACTCAATCGTTTCATCTGATAGTGTTCTCGATAAGGAACCTTCTGAGGTATTTCCAGCAGCAGTCCCTTCAGGATTAAAGTCATCAGAGGCTGACGAATTATTGGGAATTGATGAGGACTTCACTACAATATTTGAAGCTGGTTGCTGCCCTGTACTTCCACCATCAGCTTGATTGAGCATATAGCTTACACCAAAGGCCTTTTCAAGATAGCTTATTACATCCTGAAGGAGAAAAAAAGTATGCTTTTAAATAAATTCTAGAAATAAAAAAGAAACCAGACTCAAATGTAAAATCAAGATTTCCAATGTTGCACAGAATTATTATATTTAATACAATTGCAGCTGCAGTGGCTAGGATTTAAGGTAAAACCATACAGCATCCAGCTCTTCAAAGACTTAATGTAATTATTAACTTAAAACTGTTATACCCAGCATAGGAAAAATTCTATGCTTCACCCTTCCAAGGTGGGAAGAGACTGATGTGGTTTTCTACTGAGTTTCAAGGTTGCAAATTTAATATCCAAAAGTTATTGAGCGAGTTTGCCACATTAGATGCTTTGGGATTAATGCATGGTACAAATGGTGCTAGATATCCCTTGAAAATTATACCCGCTGCAAGTCAATGCAGCATACTCACTAGCCTATACACAAATCCATCCTTGACACAACTTCAAATCCCAACAAAAACCTTAACCCATGCCTTAGCTCTATAATATTTACTATTTAGCAACAAGCACTTTTAGTGTCCTTGAAAAGCACAGAAAAGACAAAACACCATGCTCACCAATTTTCTCACTACAGAAAGCATATATCCTGACAGAAAGAGAAAACCATCTTTAACCCAAGTCTAAGTCCCAACAAAGCCTTTTTCCATGCCATCGCCCTATAATATCTAGCTACCAGCATTTTTAAGGTTCTTTGAAGAACACATAAAAAACACTACCCCACACCTGCTAGTTTTTTATTTACAGGAAGCATATATCTTGATGGAAAGGAAAATCATAGAGCAAAAGATACAGAGGGGGCCAGAGGCTGACAAACCAATATCATTGAACGAAGTTCGCCTACGATCAATGCTATGGGTCATCTACCACTACTTGACTACAATTTTCTTATGCACAATCTAACATAAAATCACATCAATCCTAACAGCCAATCTGTTACCAGAAACATGAACAGTACACATTTTTCAACAAACATGCTCAGCCCTCCCCTCAAAACACACACACACACACACACACACACAAAAAAAAAAAAAAAAAAAAAAAAAAAAAAAAAAAAAAAACTAAAGCTAGGTTCATGAAGAGCACAAATTGCAACCCAGAAACCTAAACAGTCCACATTTCAGACTATATCCTCCCCTACACCTAATAGCCAACCTTTTCCCATAGAAAAATATTAGAGCTATCTCTAGTGCTAGGATGACAGGGTCATAAGGTCAATCCTCTTTGTTTTCTTAAAACAGAACAGTCTTCATCAACCATAGCCTTGGATTGGATAAGGGAAAGATGAGCCAGAAAGCAGTGGAGAGTTCCCTTATATTGAGGGACATGCAATCTTCCACAATTTATGGCTTAATAATAAATAAAAAATAAAGATTGGTCAAAGGTAAGAAGTGCCCATAAAAAATTGCACCTAATTTAACACCAAGATGCAACACAACTGCACTTTCAAGTTCTAAATTCTTCAACCAACCAACCGCCGCATGTATTCCTGTTTCATGGGTGACACTACATATTACTACTGTGGGTTTTGTGGCAGCATTACTTCTTCCTCCAAAGTAATTCTCTGCAAATACAATAAGGAAAAGCTTGCATTTTCTACCACAGGTTAAAAGAAAATATGTGTTTTGTCAAACAGCAGCACACAAACAAAAGTGCTTCCTCTGAAGGTTAATTAACCGCAGAAACTAATTGAGCCAAACAAATAGTTTCAAATTTGATTCCAATATGTCATATATGTGCTCATACAGCAGCACAAACAAACTAAACATTGACTGCTGTATCTAACAATAGAAAATCAACCAAAATAAACACAAACCCTTTTAAAGACCTATCAAAATCCAAATGGTTTACAAAACCCTCTAGAGATGTCATCATGAATCTTACTCCTTATTGCTCAACAAGTCAACATATCTCATTAAAATCTACAACCAACCAATTGATCCAGTTGGGAACAGAAAGATACTCCCCAACAAGAAACCGAGATGTGATGACAAAAGGTGGATGTTAGGCAACAATAAACAAGAAAACTACATGTAAAAAGAAATATGAAACGGAACTAGTAATTTGATGAGTATGCTATATAACGATGGTATCAATTAAAATCAACAGTGATTTAACTCATTCACAGTTAAAACTTACCGCAAATTTAGATGCCTCTTGAGTCACAAAAGCAACATCCAGCAGCAAGAGGCAAACATGAAGAGCTGTGGTCTGTGCTTTAACAATTCAAAAGCACAGAAAAGGAATCAGAAAGATACATATTTGCATCTGTAAAAAGAAAAAAAAAAAAAGACAGACTTATCTCATAGTATATAAAAAGACATAAACTTACCTCATCTATGGGTTCAATATTCTGAAACAGTGGCTCCAAAACTGACAATGCCTTTGAATACTCGTGAAGGTGGAATAGGACAGTTGCCTGCAATCGCAATTAAACAAACAAAAAAACTAAATCCCTACACAAATTATTAAAAGAAGGCAAAGCATAAATAAAATCCAACATTGTGAATGTGAGATACTACTTAACACATACAATGTTTAGCGCTGCCACAGATGAATCAAATTCATCTGTGAAAACTGTACTGGGGCTGTTCGCCAAATTATTAGTTCCTTTGGCTCCAGAAATGGCTTTATTAGCAGCTTGGGAAGCAGCATCTGTTTGCTCTCGGGATGCACGTGCAAGATCTTCACTTTTCCTCTGGAAAATATAGAGTTTTCTTAAATCCCAGCTTATCGTTTCAAATAAAGTGTAGATTGTAAAATGGAAGAAGTACAAAATTCCATTAGAGTACAATAAATCCATTATGAGACTAATATTTCAATTTGTAACAAATCAGCAACAAATTTAATTTTAACTAGACCAATTGCCTAACTATTGTGAACTGCTGTATTATACCTAGATCATGGCATGCTTTTACTTCAACATTTCCATACTTTACTTTGCCAACAGTTATTGTCAAACAAAAAGTGCCACAAAAAAATTCAACACATTCTAGAGAATTGGAAAAAAAAAATTCAACCAGCATATTGCTAAAAGGCCAAATAGATTGTTCTCCTTCTATTTCTTCCTACTACACTTAATTCGACTTCATATTACATATTATCAAACAAGAGAAAATGAGCAGCTATATTATGAGAACAGTCGCATCACTCCCATGCAACATGAAACAAAATACTAAGATCATATTCCATACCTTAACATTGACAAGGACTTCAACCAACTTCTTTGGATCTGAACATCCATCACGCAAAAATTTTGCCACCGCAATATTATGCAAAATCTGTAAACATAACTTGCACATGAACAACCAACCATGGAAAGAAAAAACAGACATCGTCTATGATCTACAAATTAATCAAGCCAGATATCATACACTCATAGTTTAGCATCAACACAGTGAAAAGAAACTCTTCAAGTAATTGTATAATCAGATTCCAAACATGAAGAATCTAATACTTGTACAGTTCAATAAAATACGCACAGTATACAATTTATTGTTTAACTGTTGATATGAACTTGACATGAAATATCACATAAGCAGTTTCTTCTGAAATATTCAAAGAGAAAAAAAAATAGAGATAATGAAAAGAGCAACAGCAATTTCTCAAGATGAAAATTAGGCTCTTAACACTACTATTCAAACTCCATGATTAACACTTTAAATCCACTTGTGCCACAATCACAAACACTTTCACAAGCAAAAGGTACACAATTGACTAATTGCCTTGCATCTTAAATTGGAAATTTCAAGAAATAATTATTCCTCAAGATCTCAGTACGAAGCAATCATCTTGCATATCCACCATAAAAACAACCCAATCATCATTAGTTGATGAAATTCACCTTTAAAAAAATGGAATCAATTGTCCCTCACTATAACTTAAAACACAAGATAAGAAACGCTATCCGTGCATATCCACTCGGAACATAATCTACCACAAAATTAATAGTAATTTGAATTCTGATCCTCCAATCCGTTTCACCAGCAATTACTCGCTAAAAGCTCCAATCTCTCAAGCTCTAGAACTCAACTGAGAGAGCCTTACTCAGACAATCAGAATTCTCAGCAAGCATGAAAACAATTCACCAGACTTCAAAACAAATATGCACACAGAACTAATCCCGTTAACATTAATACATGTCCTCACCAAAGCAAGTTACTATGCCCTATCACAAATAAATGATGTGGAAGTAACTACATCATCTTGCTACCATAAGCATAAGTAGTGAACCAAAGTACACACATCCACACTTCCAAAGCAACTTCGTTACATAACCCGTTCTCACATACTAAGTAAAAATAAATAGATAAACTACCTTATCTCTCCAATCTATCCAAATAGAGCAAATTGAAATCAAATGACGAGAAATCAGTGAATTTCACAAGTTAAAAGTAAGTATAGATCCATTCAAGCGACTAAATCTGTAATTCAGTATAAGAACTATCACCAATATGAATTATGAGCTAGATGAAAGTAACTTATCCAGATGTTTCGAGTCAATGACAACTAAACTAGTTAGCTTCACAAGCTAAAAAATCGATTCCGGATACACTATAGATTAATTCATTTTAAAAACTATCTAAAAGATGAATTATGAACTAAAACACAAATGAATTACGTACTAAAACACAAAAGAATTACGAACTGATTATAAACAACAAATAATAATCAAAATATACCTTTGGATCACCTTCCTTTTTCTGCAACAATTGATTGAGCACATCAACACATTCCGAAAACTTATCAGATTGAAACAAGGCAAAAGCTTCTTTAGCGAGCAAAGCAGTGGCCGAAAGAACACCGTCGTCATCGGAACCTTCTCTAGCCACATTAATCGAAGAAGACGAAGTTGAATCTCGCGAATCCATCCGAAGATCGAAACAATTTCAACCAAAAATCACACTAAAAATCCAGCAAAACCAAAAAAAAATGCAGTTGAACAGAATCGAAAAATCAAACCCTAAATTTTCCACTAAAACCTTCAAGAAGAAGCTAAAATCTCAGAATTGCATGCTTTATCGCAGAAAATCAAGGTTCCATAACCAACAAGTAGAGAGAGAATCGGTGAAAATGAAAACCCTAAATCAATTGAGAAATTCGCCGATTTGAAAGTGACGAACAATTTTGATTCTCCCTCCTAAAGAAATGAGAGGATGAAGAGATAGAGAGAGAAATGGGGGTTTTTGGGAGGAGAGAGAAAGAGAGGGATTGTGTAATTTTTGGTTTTTGGGGAGGGTTTCTTTGAGAAGGCTTGAGTTTTTCTCCTCTTTCGACTTTTTTTTTTTTTTTTTTTTTTTTATTTTACAGTTTTGGTAAAAGCAGACATTAATTTTGTTAATGTTATTAGGGGGCGTTTGGTTTAATGTTATTAGGGGGCGTTTGATTTGCAAAGTGGTATGGGGTTGGAATCAGGAATGAAACCATAGTGGTATGGGTTTGAAACTTGATTCTAAATACCGTATGTTCGGTATAATTATAAAATGCAATGTTTTTTTTTATTTAAGCTTGAATGTATGGGAATGAGCCAAATCCACTTTCCCCCCCCCCAAGGTTTCTAAACCCCATACCTTGGGGGTTTGAGGTATGGGTTTGTTTGAAAATCATAAAATCATAAAACAAACATAAGGTATGAGTTTAAACCATTCTAAACTCATACCTTATACCTTAATTATGTGAACCAAACATTCCCTTAATGGATTACTTGTTATGTCTTTTAAAAACAATCTCGCCTCTAGTTGATTCAAAAATAATCCTACCTTTAAAACTCATTTTCTTTAGCTAATTTTTTGACTTACAACCCTATAAAAAAGAAATTTTTTTAGTCTCTCTTCTACCACCTCCCCACCCCTATAAAACCCACCTCTTCCTCGCCCCCACGAGCCACAAACCATCACACCAACTTTACCACCACCCCTTACATCAAAAACCCTCCCACTTGAACAACCCACCTCTTCCCCGCACCCCACAAATGGCGACCACCACCCAACCCCCTTGCAAACCAAACCCCAAAATGACAGTCACCATCCACACCCCCTTGCAAACTCACAACCCCAGTCAAACCCAACCCCCCCACCCCCACCCCGAATAACATGATTAATGGTCAAACTGAAAAAACATATTATGCTCACGTTTATTTTTATGCAAACGAAGCATACACCAAAAGAAAAGAAAAAAAAAACAATCAAACTAGTCTATCAAGGAGGCTAGGCGGGAAAAGCCATATCTTGAGTGTTCTTATTACACTACCTATAATAAGAAGACTATTCGATTGATGATCTGTTCAGATTTACTTATTTTCAGTTCAGTTAAGCTCTAATCAGTTTAGTTCATTTAAGTTCAGTTCAGCTCCTAATGTCTCTCTCTCATAAAATATTCGTTTCAGCTCAGTTCAATTCAGTTCCAATCAGTTCAGTTCAGCTCTAATCAGTTCAGTTTAGTTCAGCTCAATTCAGTAAATGTGAACAGGCCCTGAGCCACCCCCACAATTGGCAAGCCAGGCAGCTGCACGGTTCCCTTCGCGAAACACATGAATCACCATGACTTCTCAATCATCTTTATTTAACAACTCGTTGCAGTAGTTGATCAAGTGAGCACACTCACCGCTTTCATGAACATCTACGCTAATTGCTTGGACTTGATTATCGAGTTGGATTTGAAGTTTGCTTATGTGAAGGTTACGAGCAAGTTCCAAGCCTCTCACCAATGCCATCACCTCAACTCTATACGCGTTACAGTAGCCATAATTAGCAGAGAAAGATGAGATGAATTTCCCCACATGATTCCGGATAATAGCATCCCGCACCTGCTGGTCCAAGTGATCCCTTTGATGCGCCATAAGTGTTCAACTTCCAAACTCAATATTAAGGCTTCGCAAAGTATTTTCAAATCTTACCTTTAGAAAAGCTCGCGTTTTTTTTTAAATATATGTAATGTTCTTTTTTGCTCGCTTGCTCTATACGTATGTGTCATATTTTTTTCGGGTGCACCATAGTTTTTTCAATGAATTACCTACATACCCCTCATTATCCACCAGATTTGATATATGTAACCAAGATAAACTCTTGTTGTGTTTAGTTCACCTTATTTTAAATCAAATAAGAAAAAAGTAAGTTTAATTAATTAAAAAAAAAAGTTTTGACATACTTTATCATTTTATGTGTGAAGTTTTAATTATTACATTTCTTTAATTTATGATGTGTGTGTACCGAGAGTTTTTCATTTTCTTAGTAGAGATACTTGTTACTTTGATTTCAATCACATTTCTTTTGATGCTAATATACTACTCCCTCTGTTTTTTTTTTTTTTTTTTTTTTTCAGTTCTCCATACCCTTGGTACATAGTTGTTTAGGCAAAAGAATAGAATAATATATAGAAGGAGAAGGTTAGGATTAAAAAATTTGGAAAAGTAAGAGAGAGAAATATGAATTGGGATTACTAAAAATAATGTGAGGGAGAAAATATTATTAAAGTTAGTGGAGTTAGAAAAAAGAAGGAGAAAGTAAATAATGTGAGTAAGGTTTCCACTTTTAGTAATTGGGCACTTTAAATAATATACTCCGTATAATGTGAGTAAGGTTTCCACTTTTAGTAATAAGACACTTATAAAAACAGCCGTTTTAGAAAAGTGGGGCACTAAAAATAAACAGAGGGAGTATAGAACTATACGGAGTAGATTAGTATTTTGACTCGGACAATGCCAAATACATTGATAATGTATACTCCGTAATATGTAATTATACATTTAGTACACATGACTCCCTATTTTCTTAAATATATTATAAATTTACTTTGTCATTTACTACAATGCTGGTTACAATTCGAACTTCGAAGTTGATTTATATTTTCTAACACTAATTCACAAAAGAATTATGAACATTAAATTATCAACAAAACTATTCCACTAGCAAGAAGACCATAAGAAGCTGTCATACTATCACAAAATCAGTCTCCAAGTTTAAAGCAATCAACCAGATTTTCTGAGCAAATTCAAGATTAACTCAGAATCACGAACGTTCTCAAAGTCCTGACTATCTTGTGAATCCTCATGATTTCCTTGTGAAAAATCAGCACCTGTATAAGTTCGAACTCCAGGACCATGTCCACTACAATCTCTCAGTCTCCCTTGTTGTGCTCTTCTCACTTCCTTTTGATGTTCTGTGAGCTCTGACCTCTTTCGTTTCGTGCTTGGAGGAGGCAGCTTGCTCTTACAAGGGGAACCATCCACTACATTTTCCATAAGTTTTACTCGTTTTGAGCACATATTTAATGTAGCTGTTACATTGTGTTTTGGAAGAGAAGTGACAACTTCCAAACTCGAACTGTTTTTCTCCACTGCTGGTGCTTTCCTGTTTCTGATTTTTAGCCTTCCAACTCGCAACAGCTTGTCTAAAACATTGAGCAAGCAAGGAGGAATATCTAAATGAACCAGATCTCCATAAGCAGAGTTCCAAAAGGTGATCGTGGGGTTGGAAATAGAAGGATTGGGGTGGTCAAGTGTTTTTTCAAGTAGAGGTGCTTGTAACTCAAGGAAGGAGGAATCAAATACTATTGTTGGCCAGCTACGTAGCAAACTTCTAATAATTTCTTCCCACAAAATTTGCAGTTGACATTTGATGCTTTCGCAGTTTATCACAGATTCTGACAACCAAGGAAGCAGGGGATCACATAGAACCTGATAACAAAACATTGTGGGTAAAAAATTACATATTATTTCGTGGAAATTTCCTGATAACACAGCGTAAGGATAAACAATTCAGTAAGTGCAGGACTAAGACCTTAAACAAGGAAATAATATCTTCTTTCCACTGAAGGCAACTGACTAAGTATGTAAATGGGGGGAGTATCCTGCAATATACAACATTAACAGATTAATATACTCCATCTGTAGAAAATAGGCATGCATATAACTACAAATGTAATTGTCTTGTATGATCTAAATATGTAACCTTGAAATAACATGTTCTGGTGCTTCATTAATTGTGCTCATGAGATTTATAAGCCTGCATTATCAAGGGAAAAATAAACAACAATCAGGCCTCTACAGTGAACCGACATGTAAAAGACTAAAAGAGTAAAGATACGAGTGATGAAGATTCACAAGTTATAAGAATCAAGAACAAAGATGTCAGCATATTTCTTAAGGAAATTTATTCTAACCTGCATGAGCTGGGCCTAAGAAGATGAAGTCAGTCCAAAGTAGCAGTGCAGTATGTAAATTTTGGCAATTTTCAAAATTAAAAAAATTTAAGGCAATTATATCTAGCTGAATTTAGCACAAAAACTAGAAATCATCCCTCTATTAAAAACTGGCAGGATCATCAAATGCCTTGTTTGGATTTCACATTTGTCATGCATTGTGACTACATGCACCTGCAGCACTATACATTTTACACATAGCTATTATCTTGAAATGGTTTTCTACATTATACATTAAAGACCGGCCAAATAAAAATAACAGGGAAGAAACAGGAGCCAGGCCAGTGTCATTACTTTAAGGCAAGTAAGCAACAACTTATGACTGCTAAAAGAGACAGCAGATACAAAAAATTTCAAGGGTAGAAAATCATAATAACACTGACCTGGCTATAAATTCCAAGCAGTTGTTTATGCCACTGGATTCTGTATAATCACCCTTAATTGCTTCAGGAGTGACCTTTTTAATATGCAAATTCTTTAAAATACACTCAGCTATATTCCCACAAAAAGAGAGAAAATGGTGCTCCTGACTGTTATCAGGAGGATCAACCTCACCCGTGTTGCTTCTTTGGAGGAAGTCATTCAAAGATGAACAAAGATCTTCTGCAAAACTATTCTTGTTTTGATTTTCTTGCAGGTTAGTAGAATTCACTAGACAATAAAGTGACATCCACACTTCTTTAACTTGTGAAAGGTTTTCTGATAAACATGAAGAAACTATACGGGAATTGCACTGCTTTTGGGTGCTTACTGTTTTCCGAGAGGTACAGACAATGAGTGGATAAACAAAGAAATGGCACAAGGTAATACAACCAGTACTAGCAGGCTGGGTTCTCATTGGCATCATATCCTTAGCACCATCTAAATATTCCTTCAAACATTGGGCAATTGTAATCCAAACCCTTAAGGAATTGTGATCAAAATGATCATACAGGATAACAGTGATGGCATGGATCACTTGGAGAGAATCATACGAAGATAGCACACGAGTAAAATATTTATATCCTTCTTGCAGACTGGAGTCACTAGACCCAATGCTGGCTTCCTTATTGCTAAGTTGAACCATCAGACAAAAGTAATACACAGTTAAATAAATTATTGGTGGAACCATTTCCATAAGCTTTGTGGGGCCAATCCCTGTCAGCATATTGCATGCAACTTCATCTGTGGATCTACACTTCATGACTAAGGCAACCTTATAAAGAGAGGAACCTAGAATAGATGGATCAAGCTCCTGAGTTACTGCTTCCAAAGTCCGTAGGCAAGCAAGTTGAAAGTCATTTGTTGCATCATCCACACTTGAAGCAGTGTCACAAACAGTCTTTACAAACACCAAAATAGCATTCATGGACTGCATAACAGTATCATAATTAGTTGAAGATTTCATAAAATCTATTTGAACACCTTTCAAAAAGAAACAGAACATCCTCGTTGCAGCATCACAAACCAGCCTCTTAATTTTGGGGCACAAAGTAGCTTTTGCTACTTGACAGAAAATCATCTGTATTGTTCTCAGAAGAAAATCCACCTGACTACAGTCCCAAGGTAGCCATCTTATAGAGTAGTTTTTTAATGTAGATTCCTCTGATAACGATACAAGATTTAACTTATCAGTAGTTACAGGTGATATTGTACCATCAACCTGGGTGTGTGATCCATAACTTACAGTTTTTGATTGGATAATATCATGAAGCAAATCCATGCAGAGTCTCCACCTCCAAACATTATCGTCTTCAAGTCCAATATTAAAGACTACCTTAAACAAAGGTTCCACAACTATACCTTGAATATGAGGATCATTTACTAGTGTATCAAGCTTATGTAACAGATAGCACCATGTGTTCAGGCAAGATGATTGGACAGAAAGACCAGCTTTACTTGTCATAATTCCAACTAATGGTGTCATAATCAGCTTCAAACTTTTTGAAAATGCTTTATTTTGGCCAGTGCCTCCATTAACTTGTGAAGTACCACCACATTCTTTTGACGGAAGGAAAATAAATGCATCTATTAGACCTTCCCATGCTACCTGCACAGCAAGCAAATTATCTAACGGTGTGTTTGGATTGAAGGAAATAGAGGGAAAGGAAGGGAAGGGAAATGGAGATATGAGGTATCATTTATTTGGATAACAAATGAGGAAGGAAGGGAATTGGAGGGTAGAGAAATGAAGGGATTAAATTGCAAGAATTTATCCCTCCAACAAGGGAGAGATTTAAGAGGAAAACTCACCATTCTTCCTTCCCCTCCCTTTCCCTCCCCTCCTCTTCTCCTTCCTCCCCTTCTTTTCCTTCCCCTTTATTTATCCAAACACAGTGTAAATGTCGAGAAAGAGCAAAGGAATACCATGATTCCTAAACTGACAGTACTTAGGATCTAGTTCAAAGGCATGCCTCAGTTTAAATTTACCAATCATAAACTCATTTGGAAACATTTTGATTATTACATCAATTCATGAACTCATTTTCCAAACTTTATCAATGTGCATAGCCACTTTGCCTATTTTTTTTCCATCTTTCTGAGTTCATATACACAAGGTAGCTGTATTTATGTGGGAGAATCTTTACAGGATAAGTACATCAAATATTAAGCACTTCATGAGCAAAAAAATGGTACAAAAGCTTACCTGTGTGGCAATCTGGATTTGTGGGTCTGGATCGGAAAAGGTTTGCTCAGGGACTTTGAGTAATGCATTAACCAAATGCCTATTCTTCATAGAATATTGTCCAAGAATACGAATATACCATCCCCATGCTTGGAGAGCCTGAACTTTCTTTCCATGTTTCAGCATATCGTCCATCCCAGAAAGTAAGCTTAGCTTCATGTCTTGAGCAATGGCCTAACAAAAAGAACCATACAATGAAAGTGGGCACTGTGCATTAGCTAATTTTTAATCCATGGCCTGTTTGGAAAAAAATCATGAAAACTAGATAATGCACCGTCGTGTAATTCTTCTCCAAATTACCCCATCTATTATCCTGAGAGAAGACATAAGGAAAGAGCACTCTACTTAATCAAAATATAGCAAGAGCAAAGGCCCATAACCTTCGGCTAATAAAAGAACTTATTAATAAGCCTTCAGCCATCTCATAGATACAAGAGAGGGGCTAATAGCTTGTATAATGCAGACAAAAAGGTGTAATTGACAATACCAAGATGGTTCTAAAGCTGGATACATACTTTGGAAGAGGTAGTAGCTCAAATATATATGATGGCTGAAATCTAACTCATCTCCCTAGTACTTTATAAAAGTTGCTCCATCAAGAGGCCCATAAGCAGGGTCATGGAAGAATAATTTCATCAAATGTTTTTGGCAATACCAAGATGGTTCTAAAGATGGATACATACTTTGGAAGAGGTAGTCACTCAAATATATATGATGGCTGAAATCTAACTCATCTCCCTATTACTTTATAACAGTTGCTCCATCAAGAGGCCCATAAGCAGGATCATGGAAGAATAATTTCATCACATGTTTTGGCATAAAGAGAAATACATTAATATTGATGACTAGATAATCACAATGAGAAGCAAAATGGTCGGGTAAATTCAAAAAGGAAGAATAGCACAAGAGAACAGTTTCTTCTGCCTCACAAAAATTGTAAAATACGAAAACATGATAGTGCCCTTGTATTATCGGTTTTTAGAGTGAAAATCACCACCATTCATCCATACCTTTGAGAGAGCCAATTGTGGAGGAACAATTAGAAACTTGATCATCAACAAACATCTTATGCACATATCTCTCTCTTTCTTTTCTCCACTTAGAAGTCTTCGATATATAGAAGGTGCCCATATAGATGACGATTCTCTCATTTTTTCACTTATCTGATTTGCTAACTTCATGACAGCCTGTAAGGAACAGAACCCGGAAAAAAGAGAGATAAACTTAGAAGCTTTACATCAATCCTTTGTGCAAAGGGGTTAAGAATCGAGAACTTACTACACACCTAGAACTTTGATTTGTAGTGAAGATATTGCATAACAGAAAGTAAGACTTTTTCACCATAGTTTGAGTCCACTGTCATTGACATTATTCACTTTGCAGTTCGCACACAACAAATAAAGACAAACAGGAATAATATTTTTGAAATAAATACCAGTCCTGAGCTAGAATTACCTGAATAGCCTCGAATGTTGTAGATAACGAGCCAGTGGGGTTGTCAAGGGAATGAACAACAGCCCTCAACAAGGATTCAAAGTGAGAAGCTAAATGTGAAGCATCTAGCTGCTGAATGGAAATACACCACACACCAAGATTGCAAACCACCTACATTCAGCCAATCACACACTTCAACATGTTAAGTGCAGCGGCTACAAGTCTACAACAGTGCCACCAATCAGACCAAAATATACCAAGCATTTGTTACCTTAATTTTCGTTGTTAAGATCAGCTTAGCCAATGACTCAAGCACTTGATCAACATATTCTTCTGCATTTGACCACTCCACACAATCAGAAAGGTTATAATTATCCTTAAATATGAACATATGTTACTATGATAAAAGCCACTAGGCAATCATATTCTAATTCATTTAATTCCCCTTGTAGCAAGTCTAACAACAGTTACAGTCTAGGAAAATCCTTCATCTAATCAACAATAATATAAGCCCCTAGGCAATCATTAGTTCATCACTCTGAGTTCTGACACAGTTCATCAAGCGAATTATACCATTATACATTCATAAAAACACGATACAAAATTCAATTACTGCTATCATCAAGTAATTAACTTATTCAATAAAATCCCAATTAAACTCACTAAGAAAACTAAATCAAAATAAAAAATAAAAAAAAAAAAGAAGAAAGAATTTAAGACATACTCGAAATCGCTACAACGAAAGAAGGATGATAAATTATGAACCCCAAACACTTCAAAGCCAGTGTAGAACTGCAACAAACAAACCATAAAATTAAGTGTTAAATCAATTAAAATCCTAAACTTATAAAACTAAAGAAACTAACTTTAACAAATGAATTATACGAGTAGTTACATTTCTTCATCAGCATCAATAATTTGAATGTCGTCGATAATCGAAGAAATGATAATTTTATTGAAATCAACAAGAAGCTGAATTAAGGAATCATCAGTGCTCGCCTGCTCTTGAAGATGTTGAAGAGTTGAATAAGCAAATGATTTTTCTAATTTTGAAGATGAACAAATTAGGGTTTTGATTTGTTCCAATTGCTCAGGAAAATTCGACATTACTTTGTTGGATTTTCAGATGATTGTATAATTAGGTTCAGAATTCAAGTGAAATTGTGAAATTTCAATCGAAACCCTAAATTGGGAAATGGGAAGGGTTTTTTTAATTTTCGCGCCATTTATGGTATATTGGGAAAAAAGGCGTTTTTTTGTTGGATTTGGTGGGAATAAATATATGGGCTTTGGGCTTAGCGTAGGGAGCATTTGGTCCAAAGAGAGTTTTAACACAAAAGTATTGATATCACGCGTTTAGATGTCCATAATGCAATCGGGTGTACCTACATTTTACAACTTTACAAGTATATATTTAAGTCATTTTTCAAGGTTTGCTCATTAGCGCTCATATTAGTGGTTTTGAATAGTACGATGAATTTATAAATAAAAGTCATATAACAACAAATGCCAAAAAAAATCGAATTATTCTCAAGTTCTTACATCTTAAATTATGCTCATTTAATTCGAGATTAGACCGAGTTTAAATCAAAGCAAGCGTAAGTAATTCTCAAGTCATCTCGATCAACCTCTTATGATAAGTGCTTATTCGGATACATTTTAAAGAGACTAAGCTTTTTTCCCGTGAAAAAAAATAAAGAAAACGAGGCGCTATAATTTGATATCCTCATAGACCATAAACCATGATTAAGTTTACATATTCCATGACTCATCAATATATTTTGGTTAAAATTTCACCAGTCTTCGGTTGCCAATTGGTTCTTTTTTATTAAATTAGCTGACTGTAGTCTTTTTATATGATAAAAATTTATGTAATCATGTTGTCTAAGAGCCTTCATTATGCTTCCATAATAATTGTTAATAAGCTAGAGGACCCTCCATTATATATATTTCTTGATTCTTGAAGAATCCAGTACATTCTACTGTGGTTGCCTGGACGATGAATATAATTATATATGTATGCACTACAATATATATACAGTCGATACTAAATATGCATTAAAAGAACATAAGTACCACGCTGTTCAAACAGACACGAGTATATACTCCGTATAATACATGAACATGTTACATGTTTTATTTTATAACACTTATAGAAATAAATTAATTGTTTTAATCATAATGTCGTTTACTCCATAAGTCTATATGAATGGAGTACGAATGTAATGTGTATATATATTATACTTTGTGTAAGTATTTTTTTCGATTTATAAATACCGTGTATATATGTTTATGATTTAATTTACGATCACATATTCACATGTAACAATGTTTTTTTTTTTTTTTTTTTTTTTTTAAAAAAAAAAAAACTTTTGCACCTACTTCTGCCAATAATTCTAATATGTGCCGTCTTTTTCAACTTTTTTTTTTTTTTTTTTTTTTGTTTACTTTATGGCTTGCTTTTCAAACTTGATAACTTATCAAATTCGATGTTACACTATTAAATTCTTGTAGAGTAGTGGAGACCTTCTCAGTGACTCAGTTGCACTATAACATGCACTAAAAGGCCTTATATGCTACTGCTTTTTTTTTTTTTCTTTCTATTAGGCTAACATTTGGAGGCATATCATGAAATCAAAGCACTAATGAATAATTAATTAGGGAAATCATTCTTTCAAAGAACTTTGCTCAAGGTAGTTACAACCTAGCTTATTACTTGAAGTAGTCTTGAACTATTGGTCTTCGCGATCGATATTGTTCATATCAATGATATCAATGATCAACAAAAATATTGTTCATGACTTACTACATCTTAACCTTATAATCAAAGAGAATGTTGTTCATATATATCAATGATCAAAAAAATATGGTCTTACCCTAATAATAATCCTAACAAAATGCAATGGTTTTTTTTTAATGATGTTAAAGAATATTTCGGTTAAAATACTGTTCCAAATATATCAAAGCAAAAACGATATCTTCTAAAAACATTGTACGTATGTAGAGGTGTCAGGATCAACCGCCGATCGACTTAAACCGGCCTAAAAAAAAAAGAAGAGATTGAGATTTGTTAGGACAAAAAAATTTAACATAAATAAAAATTTAAAATAAACCTAAGTTGATTGACAATTCACTCCAACACCTAAAGTGACACTATATTTATACGCACGGTGCAATGGTGACATGTGCATCAATGCATACATGAAGTAAACTTATTAATTGTTCTTTTTACAAGACCCGTGCGAAAAGATACTTCTTTTTACAAGTACTCCATACTTTTTTTTAACGTTAACTTCTAACCGCCCACGTGTGTATGGAGTCACCCTCCATAGACAAAAACAAACCCAATCAATAAAGTAAAATTAGTTCAAGTGTTTAACCTTTTTTGGGACCCTTAGCTTCTTTCCTAATTGAGTGAGCCTAATAAATTACAATCAACTAAACATCGTTAAATTTAAATTACTTATAATTTATTTTGTTCACCTTATTTCAACAAATTAACAAAAAAAAATTGGTTAAGAACGTAAGGGTTAATATAAGTATATTCATTCAAGTTCAATTTATAAATAAAGTAAGTTGTGTTAAATAAGCTCATTACAATGATTACATAAGTGAAAATAAAAGGCATACCCTTAATGACATGCAACAAACTAAAAGAGTAATTGTATTTTAAAATATTGGAATCTTGTGCTCTTTTTCGAGACTGTGGCTCAAATTCACCAGCTTAGCACAAAGTTTAAATGAATGTTCTTTCCACTTTTTTTTTTTTTTAATCGGGTGCACCATGCGCTGGTGCACAAATCATGCACAAATTTTGGATAGTATAGTATACACAATGTTCCGAGTGTTCGGGTCGAGAGGGCTCATATTCTTGCTACTACAACAAATCATAATTTAAGTTCTTTTAGTTATATAGTTTAATTTTTCTTTTTTAAAAAAATAAGGAATACTATTTTAAAAATTCGTACGCATTTATCATTTTAATTCTATAATTTCACTAATGATTGAAAATACCAATTCAATATCAAAATTGCTGATATTTTGTGGTCAATTTTTTTTTTCTTTGACATGAGTGGTCAAAATTTTGAGATCGAGCAAGCAAAAATAAGCATTTCCTTATCATTATCCTATACATCATACCTCAATACATGGCACCAATCATATATAGAACAACCATTTTTCACATATTTTTATTTATGGATTACCTAGTCACAATCTGTTGAACTATCATCATGCCAATTATTTGACAAGAAACAAAATTTTATAGGAACAATCCAAAATAGCTTTTGCTGTCACGCAACACCCAAAATTATAAGCCGTATATATATTTCTTATCAATTAAATGTCAATGATTGTTCAATATATATTCCAACAAATAATTTCAGCCGTTGGATCAATTAATTGATAGTTTATAGATAATTTTCAGCCATTGGATTTTGAGAAAAATGGTGAAAGATTAATATGTAAGCATTTTGTATAAGATTATACGTACATAGCTAAATAATTGTTATACAAATTATTAAAAACATAATAAAATTCATGGTTCAATAATTATTAATTATTATTTATTTTTAATTAGTTGATTTTTCTTGCAACTCCCGCTTCTAGTTCCAATTTCTTGGATGCAATATATAACTTCACGTTTTGCTTAAGAATGTTTCGGCGGCTCTAATGTTATTTATAGATTGATCATGATGAATTGATGATTGACTAATTGTATAAGTGTAAGACTTTAGAAATGTAATGACGTTGAAAGTAAAATTAAACTTAGCTGGAGCCACGTGGAAGGATTAGATGGGAAGCTACGCAGTATTAATAACAATACCGAGTAAAATTAAACATACACGAGGTAGGAGTTTATGTCATTATCTTTTCTTTAATGGGTAAAGAGAATGACCCTATTAGATCATAACTTTTTATAGGTGATCAAATTCAGTTCATGAGCAAGTTAGGCTCACCACAGCTATTAGGAATCGAATCCGGCCATGAGGTGAAACTCCTATCAACTACAACAAGTACTATTTGGAATTAGGTTGCTCTTGTGTGCATGGTTTGAACAAAAAAGAAACCAAATACATAGAACTTGTTTAGTTTAGCTTAATTTCAGTTCACTTCAGCTCCAAATCAGTTCAGTTTAGTTCAATTTCTAATTTATTTCTCTCATAAACAATTCATTTAAGCTCTATTCAATTTAGTTCAGCCCTAATCATTTCAGTTCAGTTCAGTTCTATTCAATTGTTTTCATAAATCGGAACAGGCCCGTACAGAGAACATGAAATGTAATAATACATTAGTTTTACGATGAATGTTGGTTGCTATAAAAAACAAAAAAAAATATGCGGCCAATGCGGTATTGGAGCATTGGAGGACGGAATGCCACTTGTAAATACTCGTATTTATGTCAAAATATATATTCCGTATAGAAAAACACTTGTTTCATCTATTTGTCTCAAATATTAACGCATTTAACTTTTTGTATGGCAATATTAAGTGGATATCCGCTAATCCGCTCCACCCGCTTAAAATAAATGAACGAAAACCCGAATTAAATGGATGAGAAGCGGGTGACGGATGAAGCGGATGATGGATCGGATCGGATGTGGATGATATTTTTTTCACCCGCTAACCGTCCACCCATCCGTTTAACATATATGAAATTTTTAATCAAAGAATTTTACTAATAAAATATAGAATGTGCAAGAAAATTACTTGTCTTTTTTTTGTTGCAAATTAATTTTTCAAACAATATGTTATTATTGTTTCTTTTTTATTAATAAATTAAAAAAATTATTATATAAATAACCGAAAATTAAAGTTAATCTGAGTTTTTTTTTAATTTTAGTACTCATCCATTTGTCATCCGCTCCACCCATTTCATCCGCGGATGATGGACGAACGGATATGGATGATGGGTGAAGCGGATGACGAATGGATGTGGATGGAGCAATTAGGATAATGAATGGATGCGGGTGAAGCTTCAACCGATCCAAATCCATCTATTGCCATCTCTAGTCTCAAATATTAATGCATTTGACTTTTTGTACGGTCAACATTTACACATGCACCTTTGGCTATTGATTTTTTAGATTACTCCCTCCCACCCAACAAAATAATTGCACCATAATTGTTATTTTTCCTTGCTTTTCCCTCAAGATAAAACATTAATTCATTTTCTTCCTCTCCTTTTTATACTCGGTAATTTTCTTGATTTTTTTGCTAAAATAGCCGTAGGAATTTAGAGATATATATTTGCTTATTACAAGAGGTTAACTAAATATGACCAAAATTTTATAAATTATAATTAACTAGATTTGTGCATGTGCATCGCACGGTAGTAACAATTTTTTTTCCATAATTAATTTGTGATATAAT